TCTACAGGAGGAGTGTCCAATAATAGTCAACAAATAGTCTGGGGACGATTGTTGGAGTATGTTTGAGCACTTGTTTAGTATTTTGTTGACTATCCTTTCTTTGTCGACCAAAACCCGTCTGTAGGAGGACATGCCCGGCCGAAGTCTTGTGTCCTCTCGCGTGTCCTGTCCGGTCAAGCCCGAGTGTGCCCCAGCCCCCAGCGGCGGGGCGCGCCGCGGGGGGGCGCGTCGGCGCGCGGCGGCCGGAGGCGGGCGCGCGCTGCCCCACGGGCCAGGAGCACTCGAGTGCTGTACGGCAGGTGCGTGTCGTGTCGACCGGCGGCGACCCCGTCAGCGGCGTTCAGCTTTGAACGCCGCGGGCGAACCAGAATCGTTCGATGTGGAGCGATTTGGACGTTTCGGAAACGGCCGAGCGTTCAGGGTTGAGCGATCCCCGCGGCGTCAGAAACCGACGCCGAGGTCGGCACGACACGAGCCTGACGTGAGGGCTCGCCAGGAGGACGCATCTGGTGAGCGATCCGACATGCACTTAGAAGCACTCAGCTCCAGGCAGCGTGCGACACTTATCATGTACTCAAACACTATTCAATGCTGTGCTTATCAGCACGTGCTTCAGCCAGATGGGTCGAAATTGGTGCGCTTACTTAGCCACACAGATTTTGCGACCACAGCTATGTCGCATCCTGCTTCGCAGATAGTATCATGTTGCACCGATAACGCGAAACTGTTGCATCAAACATGTGACCCTGATTATGCTGAGCCACAGCTATTGATACACCTAGCTGCCCCTCGCGACTGCTTCGGGCACGGCGCACCGGTGCATGCTAGAATGGAACGCCTCCAAGCTGCCTGGCTGGCCCCTGGATGCTGCTCCACGCCCTCCTCCCCCTCCTCCTCCTTCTCCTCCTCCTCCTCCTCCTCCTCCTTCTTCTTGTCTTCCTCGTCCTCCTCCTCCTGTGAGTTATACGTGAATGGTCTTCGCACGCTCGGAGTTTCGGTCGGGCGGGGCACTGAAGACAGGAACGAAGGTGCCACCCTGCCGCGCCCGTGTCAAGTTTTTCGGCTCGAGGGCGCATGAGACCCGAGATAGGTGTAGGGGTCCTAGCCGTCGGGATTGTACGAGAGCTAGCTTCGCTGGCTATCCGTACTCGCCAGGGGTGCCCCGACTGCTATCGTGACTGCCCTACACTGCCAGAGTATCCTGACTGCCCAGCCTGTGTGTGCCCTGGGGCACCCGCACAAGCACAGCCTGTGTGCGCAGTGCCCGTTGACTTCTTCGACACGTCTTACGTCGCCATGGCTAGTGGCGCCGCGGACTCTTACTGGCAGGAGGGTCTCAGCGGAGTCTTGGCAGGAATTGTGAGCGGAGTCTGGGCTACTCGCAGGTGCTGTCCGAGGCATATCGGAGGTCCTGGAATTAAAGGACGTGGGCGAGTCGAGAAGCGATGGCGACGAAGAATGAAGATATTCCTGGTGCTTACTACAAGGTGAGTTGCGAAGGTGCGGATCATGGTCATGAGTGTCTGTGGTTGTGTGAGGTGCAGTCGGTGAGTGATGAGCGGGTGTGGACTGGTGATATGCCTGTCTTCGATGTGTATGCTGAGGGTCACGACGGTGCAGTAGATTGTGGAGCTATCAGGTTGTTTCAGCTACAAGTGTGTGCTGCTGGTCGTGCCCTTTCTCGGACTTTGTACAGTGTCAGCGAGACAGTGTCAGCGGAGGTATTCAAGAGGCTGCGGCAGATGGCCAGGGACTATGTCGGCGAGGAGGGCTCAAGCGAGGTCTCGAATTCCAGGTTCGACGGTGACGGCGTCATCGCCAGCAGTGTGCTCGTACCATTTCGTGGAGCTCCACTGGGAGGAGGGGCTGTCTCATGCGAGCTGGCTGAAGAAGCATCGCTATCCTCGGTGGTTGTCTATGGGGTGCCTGCGGATGCCGATATGGTTCGGGTAGTGTCTGAGCCCGCCTCCGAGGGAGATCGAGAAGTGACCCATCTGGAAGTTGGAGAGTCCGAGGCAGCCGTCGTCCCCGGGCTGCGCAATCGAGGCTTGGCCGAGTTCGGTGTTTTGAGCGAGGCGCTGGAGCAGATCTCCAGCGAGAAGTTCGAGTGCCACGCAGAGGGGCGCATTACACTGCTGTACTTGGGTCTGCGTGTTGTGCCGACTCAGCGCAGCATGGAAGAGGCTCCTCCTGGGCGTTCTGCACCCCGAGGCGTTCTCGACTGGTTCTCGGTCCCGGAAGATCAGGGCAACCTTGAGGGGAAGAAGCCAGAGGAGGATATCGGCATGCTGTCGGAGAAGTATAACGGCCAGGGTCACAAGGGGCGCATCAAGGTCACGTCGGTCAAAGAGCTGGTGGTAGATAGCATCTCCGATTGGCCTCTGGGTGGGACGGGCAGCCGGTGATGATGGTCGCGTTTTGGCTGGAAAAGGTTCCTTCTGATGGGGGGCTGGGGAAAAACCGACGGGGCCATTCATGAGGTGCAGGTGCTGGGCTACGTTTTCGAGCTTGCCGTCCAGTACGACCTGATTAACGTTACCACCTTGGCGACGATCGAAAGGCCGAGGCGCCGTTGGCAGACTCTCCTTGAGGCCCAGGTGAAGCATCCCGCGAGTCCGGGTTACGAGTTATCGAGGAGGTTCTCGGGTTACGACCGCGGTCGTCAGGTGGTGGCGCCCTTTGTTGGTTTGTTCGAGGCAAAGGAAGTCATGGAGGAGGCGGAGATTGGCAAGCGGACAAGTAAGGCCAAGGCGTTGAAAGACGAGGCCAGACTTGTCTTGAAGCGCAAACAGGGCACGGACAAGGACAAGGGCAAGGGCAGGGACGGCGAGTGATGTCGCCCCGCCTTGGCTTTTCGGCAGATAGTGCCAGCACCAGTCGCCGCGGCGCAGGCACTTTCACAGGCGAGAGTGATGCAGGAGGGGCTGGTGCGAAGGGGCGTTGGAGTTCGGGTGCCGTGCCTCTTTTTTTGCCGTTCGATTTTGTCAGGACTTCGATCCTACACCTTCGAGACTATCGGGAAGGTGTCGACGAGTGGCTAACCTCAGGTGTCATCGATTGCGTGAAGTTGGCGAGGTAAATCGTCAATCAGGGCCTCAACTAGTTGTATGATCGAGCTCAGAGCCCCCTTGATGATCCTGCCGTGGTCGACGGGGTACATGAGTTTCTTTCTGGCCGTGTTGCTGAACAGCCACCCGTCCCAGCTTTTTTAAACTAGGGAGGGAGCCGTTCGCAAGCCCCTCCAGAGCAAGTGTGGCTACGACCACGCTGCCTCCACAGTCGTCGAGTTCGACCGCCACCTCGTCTCGCTTCCCGAGGGAGTCCAGGACAGAACATGCTCGAGGATCTGATTGCGCAGGAGGACAGGCATTTGGTGGACAACTTTGAAGCATGCTGATATATGTGAAGGAAGTGATGCAGATGAGAGAGTTTGGCGAAGATATCCAGCCTTATTCTGACCAGAGACTGCGCACCCGTCGTCACGGGTACGTTCCGTCTCTGAAGATGCTGCATACCCGAGGGCTAGCGCGATGGTGCACAGGGCCCAAAGAATTAGTCGCGCCCTTCTTCGGAAGGAAAAAGGACGGGAGGCAGCTCCTCATCATCGGTGCCAGGCGTGTCAGTCAGCTGTTTCGGGTCCATCCGAGCACCCTCCTCGCCACCCCCGAGAGCATTGCACGTTTGGGGGTGGAGGACGGGGTGGACTTGTTCGAGGCCTCGCCTGATGTTGGCAACTGCCTCCACAGGGTACGTTCGGGGCGTAGAAGTTTCAGGGGGTCGTCTTGCGTGGGCCTCGATGGCCGTTTTGCCAAGGGTTTTCCCTGGTCGGTCTCCTGGGCCCAGCGCATCGGCGCGCGCCTGGTTCGGGGGGCCTCTGGGATGGAGCGCGCGCCTTCGGTCGAGGACAGAGGGGGCGGGCTCTTCGTGGTGAAGTCCAGCGCTCCCATATTCCCATGGTCTACGAATACGTGGGCAACGGGTGGGCCCGGGGGGCCGACGAGGAACGGTTTAGAAGCCGCTCGATAACATCCGCGAGATCATGAATGCTGGCAAGATGAAGAATCACGAGGTTCAGGAGGCGGAGCAGGTGAGAGGCTCTAGGCATCGAGTTCACCGGCGCCTTGGGGTGCTTCAGACCGTCAGGGAAGCGCTGCTGGAAGATTCGTTTGTGCCTGGAGGCTTTTTTGAAGTGCCCCAAAGTCTGGCGAGAGGTTCGGGGTGCTCTTGGGCCAGTGCGCGTGCCTATCCACGCTACAACGGCCGTTGGTGTCTCGCTTCGCCTCGGTCTACAAGTTCGCACGACAACGCAGACATGCCTGGGCTCCCTTGTGGGAGCCTGCACGGAAAGAGGCACATGCTTTCCTCCGCCTTGTGCCGTTGATTCGAGCCGATTGGAGTCGCAGTTGGATGAGTCAGATCATTGAGTACGATTCTTGTCCCGAGGGAGCTGGGGCCCGCGTGGCGCCGAGGTCGTCGGGCTGGGCGGCGCCGCGCGGCAGGGTTCAGAAGAGGGCTCGATCTGTGCGACGTGATGCCGCGCGAGCTCGAGGGTGCGCATTGTTTTGTCTACGCCCCGATGACCCCCTGGTGTTTGTTGCGCCGCCGCCAGCCTTGGATGGGGGAGGTTGCGGAGCTTCGGGGGCAGGACCTGTCTTTCCCTGAGGCGCCGTTCGAAGGTTTGGTCGGACAAGACTGGGAGGTGACGTTTTGCCGCCGCTGGAAGAGAAAGATGACGGTCCGCGAGGGGGAGGGCCAGAGCGGGGGCCCTGGGAGTTGGAAGTTTTGTCTTTGCTCCCGGGGTAGCTGGGCGTCGACTTCTCGTGCTTGGGTGCAACCTGTTTCGCCCTCGAGAAACGTGTTCCCGGGTTTCCGCAGGGCCCCTGGCGAGTTCAACGTCGCCGACGAAATTTCCCGCCGTCCTGAACGACGTCGGGGGGATCTCCCGGAGCTAAAAGCCACTCCTGAGATCCGCCGGCTCGCGCGAGCACACTCCTTAGCTGTTTCGGCCAACAATGAATATGTTTCGCGTTCGAATGCCCCACTTACTTGGGCGAGGGGCGCCCTTGGCGCGGAAGTCGGGGGGCGAGACAGAGGCCGAGGAGAGGGGGGCTCGAGTGCTATTTCGTCAAGCGGCCCTTCTGGCGCCAGAGAAGGGATGGGCGGCCAGTTCCCAAAAGAGGCGCGGCCACTTGTCTCTGTCAGTCCGACTCGAACAATTTCAGCGGGGGGCCGAGCGGGTCGACTTGGACGGCGCGATCTCAAGGGAGACTGGGCTCCCGCTGGTCAAGGACAGTCTTCTCCAGCACAAGAATCACCTTGCGAAGATGGCCGAGGAGCCAGGCATGCAACGCGCTTCGGTTCTAGAACGAAAGCTCGGTAGGCGAGCTCATTTGCACTCTGCCTCGCAGACTATATCGCGGGCTGGCCGACTGCGTCGAGGAGCAGATGCCCAGCGTGGACATAGCGCAGGACTTCGATGTGGCCATCGTCGCGTTCATGGTTCACTTCTACCTGCGCGGCTGCGTCGCGGGGCTCGATCAGAACCGGGTCGCGGCGACGGCGCGCCCCCCCCCCCCCCCCCCCCCCCCCCCCCGAGCTTTGGCGGGCGTTTTTTTGCCGTGGTCATGGGGGGCAGCAAGGGGATGGGCCGCGCTGGCCCCGCCCCGCAGTCGCCAGCCCCTCGCGCGTCCTGCATTTTCGGTCCTGATGTGTCAGTCGACGGAGGACGGCCACCTCGACGTAGGGAGCTGGGCGATCATCTTGGGGTCGATCTTCGGGCACGTGTCATGCCCGCTGGTGGCCCTTACTATGCGCGAAAATTCTGGCGAATCTTGGCATGCCGATCGCGCCACCTCCAGGCCCCGAAAGTTTGGGCCGAGGACGATACGAGGCCGTGGGACGTCATCGGGCTCGATTGGATAAATGAAGGTCCCCAGGGGCTGTCTGCAAGGAAGAGAGATATGCTGCTGTGGGCTTTCGCTTATTCAGATGTGGTCAGAGTTAGACGGCGATGTTTTTGTTGATGCAGGATGTACCTTATCAGCCTCGCCTACTTGTGTTTCGTGGACATTTACAACAAGTATCGAACCCTTTCTTTTGAAGTTCAGCTAGACGCTGGACGTCAGCAAGAATGCTCAGCGCTATGTGAAGTCGGGAATGATGATGTGACTGTGCTCTCTTCCCACTGGCGCTGAGAACGCACATGGAAATTCCACCGCTGCTTCAACAATATGTGTTTATGACGCCGCTTGGTGCCCCACCAGCCCAGCTGTCTGTTGCAGTCCAGAACCAGCGTGAGCCCTGATTACCTTGTCCGTCAATAGAGAACACATTGATATGGGTGATATGGGTGAGGAGCGCCAAGAGCCTCGCCCACGATTTCGTGCGCCGACAGTCTCGGGACGGCGCTGGCATCATATCCCACGGGAACGAAAAGGAGAGCGCGCGAGGGGAATCATGTGAGTTATACGTGAATGATCTTCGCACGCTCGGAGTTTCGGCCGGGCAGGGCAGGGAAGACAGGAACGAAGGTGCCACCCTGCCGCGCCCGTGTCAAGTTTTTCGGCTCCCCGTGGCCCGCCCTCCGCCATTTTCATTCTTTCGTATTGAGTGAGGAGCGCCGAAAGCCTCGCCCACGATTTCGTGCGCCGACAATCTCAGGACGGCGCTGGTTGGCATCATATCCTGTGAGAACGAAAAGGAGAGCGCGCGGGGGGGATCCTCCTCCTCCTCCTCCCATCCTCCTCCTCCTCCTCCTCCTCCTCCTCCTCCTCCTCCTCCTCCTCCTCCTCCTCCTCCTCCTCCTCCTCCTCCTCCTCCTCTACCCCCGTCATGAATTTGCCCCCGCCCCAAGCGACGGGCTGGGGCCGCCCCCGCAGGACCAGCATGAGCTGGTTTCGCTGTTTCGACGGCGCTGGTTTCGCTTCGCCCCGCTGGTTTCGCCGACGGGTGGTTTCGCCGACGGCTGGTTTCGCCGACGCGGGCCCTAACGGGCGGATCGGGTCGGGTCGACGGGACCCTGGCGGGCGGGTCGGGTCGGGCGGACGGACCCTGACGGGCGGGTCGGGGCCTGCGGGCGGGACATGAAAATGCGGGGCGCGCTGGACCGAGCGCGCGCGGACCCTAACGGGCGGGTCGGGTCGGGCGGACCCTAGTTGCCGGGACGGGTTGGGTCGGGTCGGGCGGACCCTGACGGGCGGGTCTGGTCGGGCGGGCGGGACATGAAGAAAGTGTGCGGCGCGCTCGACCGAGCACGCGCGAGCCCGAACGGGCGGGTCGGGTCGGGCGGACGGACCCTACTGGTCGGGTCGGGTCGGGCCGGGCGGGCGGACCCTGACGGGCGGGTCGGGTCGGGCAGGCGGGACATGAAGTTGTGGGGCGCGCTCGACCGAGCACGCACGAACCCGAACGGGCGGGTCGGGTCGGGCGGACGGACCTTGACGGGCGGGTCGGGGCTGGCGGGCGGGACATGAAAGTGTAAAGCGCGCTCGACCGAACACGCACGAACCCGAACGGGCGGGTCGGGTCGGGCCTGGACCCTGGCGGCGCGGGTCGAGTCAGGCCGGGCCGGGCGGACCCTGACGGGAGGGTCGGGTCGGACGGGCGGGACTGGGGCGCGCTCGACCGAGCACGCGCGAACCCTAACAGGCGGGTCGGGTCGGGCGGGCGGACCCTACTGGGCGGGTCGGGTCCGACCGGACCCTGGCGGGCGGGTCGGGTCGGGTCGGGCGGACCCTGACGGCGGGTCGGGTCGGGCGGGTGGGGACATTAAAGT